AATTATTTCACATAATTTAATTAATAATTTCATTTTAATTATAGTATGGTATAGTTGTTGTGTCACTAATCTTTCATCCTAACCTAATTTTAATTATTATATATATAATTTCTGATATTCTTCCAATTTTAATTATTTCACATAATTTAATTAATAATTTCATTTTAATTATAGTATGGTATAGTTGTTGTGTCACTAATCTTTCATCCTAACCTAATTTTAATTACTATATATATAATTATCTTTCCGATATTTATGAAACAAAATATAAAATTTAAATTGAATAGATTATAATTTTGTCAATTTGTAAATTTTATTAATAGAAATTGTAAAAATTAAATATATATGTATATCATTGTTATACCATTGAATTTATTATTATGAATTTATTATCAAATAATTTGTAATTTTTGGTGACAAAAAGCTGTTGACAAAATCAGTATTTTAATTTTTATAATTCTACCGTTAGTTTATTTTTCCTTTTAAATTTTACTCAAAAATACGTTTAATTTTAGAATGAAAAAACACGAAAAGAGCATTACAGTGAGTAATAAATCGAATTAAAATAAATGATTCGCTTAAATGATTCTTTTGTCTCATTCCATTGTCATTATAATTATAATGATCATTGTAATTATAAATAGAAAAGCATTTGAGCAATTAATAATTAATTACGAAATGCTAATTAAGCAGAAAAAATTGTTAAATTTCGGAAAAAACTCATAGTGCTAATCCTAATTTTAATTTGCGTTTTTAAAAAAGGTATATATGAATAAAAAAGTTTAGTGAAAAAGATTACTGGAAATAATACTCATTAAAATATTTATTTTAGGCCAAAGAAATAGCAAATTTAAAAAGCGACGAAATTTGCTTAGCTCATTGAAAGTGTCATCTGCTGTTGACATTAAAAAAAACTTTCCCAATGCTATGCTCAAACATAGAAGGAAAGATTTAGAATTTGATGAATTTATTCAACGAAAAGATTTCAATCTATCTGAAAGTATGTTATTTTAACTGTTAATTTAATTTATTTTAATTTGCAAATCCATGATAAATCACACACATACACACACAAAAGTAAACATTTTAACATATTTGAGTAATTAATTTGAACTTTTGTTTATTAATTAAGTAAAATTTGGGGATTTAATGTTTCATTTTATTTGATCCTTATCACTTAATAAACTTGTTGTAAATTTTATTTCAAATCTTTGAATTCTAATTTAAAATTTTCGTTTTTTGATAAAGGTGAGGAGAAATTTTAAAAATGTTTAATTTTAATCATTTTGCAGATAGCGACAGGCAGATAAAAGTGCGAGGAAAGGATGAAATTAGGAGGTATGAAGAAAAAAATTAAATTTTGAAATAAAAATGAATTTGAATTCTTTGACATTAACAAACTTGCATTTATTTGTAAATGAAATTGTGAAATTTTAATTGGCAAAAATTTTTGAAAATTTAATAAATATGCTAATGCACTACGACTATT